CTGACATGAGTTGGGCGGTCTCAGCCTGGCTGCCACAGGCACGGAGAGGGGCAGGAGGGCTGTGCCATGCAGGGCTTTCTGCATTCCTTGGAGGGTAAGCAGCTTCACACAGAGGGTCCTGAGGGGCATGAAAGGCTGGGTGGGCTGGGATCCCCTGGCACCCACCCAGCACCCGGCCGCAGTGCAGCCTCGCTGTGCCTGGGGCATGCAGGGCAGGGTCTCTCCCCCAGCTTGCAGCCATGGGGGAGGGTGGCTGAGGCCTGTAGCCTCCCTGGCTGAAGAGGGAAGGGGAGGCAGGGGCCGCTCTGGTTTTCTGCAAAACTTCCTTCCCTCAGGCAGCTTCCTGCACTTGAGTGGGGTGACCCAGCCACGCCACAGGGCTGGGTCTCCCCCTCCCTTGTTGCTCTCATAGGGATGTAGGGCCAAGCTGGGGAAGTTCATGTGATTTTCCTCTACTCCATGGCATGAAACGGAGCTCAGCTGGGGGCAGAAACCCCCCCAGGACGGCCCCACTGTGCACTGAGCTTTCCTGCAACGTGTCTCGGAGGGAGGGCGAGGGCTGCCAGGGAGGAGGCTGAGCCTCATGGCTGGAGCTCAGCTGACGCTCAGCGGTTCATTCATGGCCGGGCTCCATTTTCCAGCTGTTTCTCTCCCCATCAGCTTTCTCAGAGCAGTCTGCACTGTCTGGGGACTTTCTCTAAGGGGGTGGGGAGAGCCCACGCCGCAGCGGGCTGCAGCTATAAATGGTGCTGGTGTTAGAAAACAACCTGCGGGTTACCTTGGAAACCCTGCCGAGCTTCCTGAGCTCTGCTGGCTGAGTGAGGCTGATGGTGGCCTTGATTCGGTGCACAGAAACTCAGATAAAAACCAATGGCATGTTGTAGGGGCTGCCCAGTCCCAGCAGCATGCAGGAACATGGCGTCCCCAGCAGCTGCTGAAGCTGGGACAGCCCCAGGACGGGGGGAGCACTCTGGGGTGCAGTGAGGAGCATCAGCCCCGTGGAGGATGCTTGGCTCATTTCCACGTATTCAGCACTTTCTTCCCCTCCCGGCTTCTCTCGGTGCTGGCAGGAAGCT